CCCGTCGGCCACTCTGCTGTACTGCGTTGACGTGCGGCTGACGTTGCGGGAGTGGTTGGACACGTGACGTTTTGTCAGAGAAGTCGGTCGAGATAGAGGCGACGAGGTTGTTGCCGAGCCGGCCTCGAGCGAGTCGGAGAATCGGAAACCCGTCCGAGGCCTAGCGGGGCGGGGTCTCGGGCGAGAGGGCCTCGGCGAGGCAGAGAGTCGGCCTTTCGTCCGAGGCCTTTGCGGTGCGGGCCTCGGGCAAATCGGAGAATCAGCCGAGACCTCGTGGTTGTCCTCTGGCTTTGATATTGGCAAGATCTAAGCAATATTTTCGGTTCTTGCTTAGGGTACCCCTTTTTATAGTATCCGACACCTGTCTTTTTTGGATGAATCCTGTATATATAATTTGTGGCCTAATTAGATCTAGGTTTTCATGGTTTGTGTATAGAGAGAGAATGCATGTTGTTTGAGTATTTTAATACCGTATTAACTATAGTTTGTGTCTTAAAATTGATGTATTATGTAGCCTCACATGTTTCTTGCATTATAAATCCCTTAATTTCATAATTTACGGATCCTAGCACCACCATCCATGAATAGAGAATACATAGATTAATTTATATCTTGGCAGTGAATTTGTTTGTTTATTAAAATATATCAATTAATTAGTCATACCTATATGTTCATTTATTTGTTAGTGAATAATTGGTCATATATAATGTTACTTTGAGAAAATTGAGTGATTATTTTAACAATTTAATTATTTAATCATACCTATATATTATTGTAATTTTTTATTTTAATTTACCAAATTTTCTTCAAATAAAGGTCCATGTATATTTTTAAATATATTTACAGCCGCATTAAATTATTATGTAGATCCTTATGGAATTTTGTAGTTTAACATGTAGAGGGCATGTATGTACAATTTATCAAGGCTTGATCTATCGTACCGGTTAGAAGGTTGGTTGATTTATTAATCCCGTCGAGACACAGAAGTAAAGGAAAATCAAATAATCCAAAGTACATCATTAAACATATCTTGGTAACCTAAAATGTACGGTAGAACAATCCATGAATGCTAAATGAACAATCGAAAATATGTCATAAACGTATTATTGTAAAAAAAAACACCGTAAAACATCCCATGAATTTTAAGGGAACGATTGAAAATACATCATGGAACAATCTATGGTTACAATATGAAAAATATAAAATACACTACGGAACATCTTATGGATACCTTGAGAAAAAATAATAAAAGTACACTATGGATCATCCCATGGATAATACACGAATAATTTAAGGAATGGTATTTCTTCGTGAAAAAATGCACAATGTCAAAATAAAAAATGTTCTTTCTTAACGAGAAAACATCTCACAATAAAAATAATGATATACAAGGAAGTCACAATAAAATTAAAATTACTGATGTACAAAAAAAATCACAACGTACTAGGAAAGAGTACAAAAGTCAAAGCTGTTATAGCTTTATATAACAAAAGAACACGTATATCTGTTTGAAGAATTAAATAATAATTGTGCATCCATTTGTATTTTGACATAGTTGTATAACAAGTGCAGCTTTATTCAAATTTAGCTAGCTCAATAACGCAAGCTGTTCTGCTAATGCCGATAAAGAGACAAATATACAGATGAGGGCATACTGGAACTTGCACTGCTTACTCTTCTATACCGTTGCAAAGAACACTATAAAAGGAAAACAATGATATAAGATAGCCATCATGTTCCAACCCAATTATGCAACATCAGCATAAAAATCATGGAGTGTCATCCGGGCTGCTATTGGAATCCGAACACTCTTTTCGCCCTTGTACCATGTAAGGCTGCCAAATGTGTAGTCTCCCTGTAGCTTCCACATAGGTGATAGCTTCACCTGAAACGTGTGTACTTTGTTTGTAGAATTGAACACGAGGACGGAGGGTTCAACATCCATCCAAACTCCAGGTGGGCTCTGGATTGCAGCATGGTAAACTGCATCGACCTCACCTACATTTGTGACTGCCCTCGATACGGTGATCGGAGACCTCAAGTCTGGAATAGAGATGGACGGTAGATTCAGGTGGTAGCCTGGTACCAAAGTTTCATTGCAACTTGCAGATGTCCTGCTGATGGCGCAGCCAAAGAACTTTTTGTAATCGCTTGGATCAATGTCATAAATCAAGCCGGGATCAGCTGCCCTATTAGGGTTAATGTTCCCACCTCCGTAGTCAAATGGGTCAGCAACCTTTCGGGGCAACCCTTCAGCCAGTATCGGCATGCCGTGTTCGTCAGTTACAGAGGCTTCATCATGGAAAATGAACAGAGTTAAGAAAGATGTAACATTGCTCAGTCAATGTTCAATAGTCATTTACTCTGTTCAGATTACCTGTGGTGACGATAGCCGATTTCAGTGCAGCAGGGGACCATTGTGGATGTAGAGCTTTCAGCAAGGCGATGATGCCAGCTACGTGTGGCGTAGCCATCGATGTCCCTGACATAGGTTCATAGGAGTCTCCCACTGCTGCTAAGATGCTAGCTCCTGGTGCTGCGATGTCAGGCTGTTAAGGAATAAGCAAAACTGCAGTGAGATGGCTTCCTAATGGTTACTGTGTAGAAAGCAATAGTATTTTACTGTAGTGTAGGTACCTTGATAACATCAGCGTAGTAGATTGATGGACCTCTGGAGGAGAATGCTGCCACTTTGGGAGCCAGTAACTCTTTACTTGTAAAGGTGCGGGCTGGTTCAATCTTTGCCACCGCGGAGCTGCTTAACAATCACACATTTATCAAGCATGTAGTTCTGCTCAATAAGTGTTGTACCTCGTGTCTCTTATGTATCGTAAAATCTGGTAGCCGGTGTCAAGATCCACACGTACACAGGCAATCCCCTGACAACGGGCTGTAGCACCTAGAAGGTCGGTCGTATATTGGGCGAAAATAAGACCAGAGGCTCCGGCATCCCGCACGTTTTGCAACGCGACTTGGAATGCGGACCCCGGGACTAGCGGTAGAGGTGATTTTGGGTCTGATGGAAAGCACAGCACAATCTTTCCTTTCAAATCCGTACCATTCAAAGCGTCCGCCGTGCAGCTAATCACGGAAAGCAGAAACCAACTGTTCAGCTTCAAGATTTCTGACGCGTTTTTATATTAGGAAAAACAATCAAGAAAGGCAAAGTAACTTACAGGTCTCCGATTTCAAGACTTCTGAAAGTGCTCCTGGATGAGTTCTTCTCTTGGTAATAGAGGGATTGTCCCTGAAAAATTGGTAGATTTCACTCAAGATCAGTCATTAACTCAATATACTAATTCTCGACTAGTGATTCTTCAGAGCGTGTACCGCTATCTGTTTCTTGTTTCCCAGCGTGATCACGGTTGGAAACGACCGATCAATCTTACTCGCAGCTACAGCAATGACCCAAGGGGCAGTGTTCTCAACGGTCTTGGACCGCTGTTGCCGCCTGCGTACACGACGGTGATCCCCTTCTGAACAGCGTGCAGGGCGCCGAACGAGTCGTCTTCGAGGCCACCGAGGGACAGCGAGAGCACGTCCACCCCGTCATGGATGGCGTCGTCGATAGCCGCGAGAATGGTGGCGCTGCTGCCACCACTGCTGCCACCACTGCCTTGCCACAATGACTTGTACACGGCAACGCGGGCCCGAGGCGCGCCGCCACGCGCAGCGCCAGCGGCAAGACCGTGGAAGCTGGCTCCCTCTACGACGGAGCCTGCCGCGGTGGAGGCCGTGTGTGTGCCGTGGCCGTGGGCGTCCCGGGCCGAGAGGTACTCGGCCTTTAGGGTCCCTTCGTCAATTCCAGCGCTGTAAAACCGTGCACCAATGATCTTGCGGTTACAGTTGCTGCTGTTCCAGCCCTGCCCGACTTCGCACTTGCCTTTCCACCGTGACGGCACCGGGCCATACCCTTCGTCGCTGAAGCTTCTCGACTCCGGCCAGATACCTGAAGCAAAGCAAGATCGATCACCGCAGGATTAAAAGATTTGTTTCAGTTCGAAGCAAACCAGAGCTTGTTCAGATTTGCGTAGAGAATTGTATTACTAACCGGTGTCAATAACCCCGATGATTATATCCTCCCCTTGGTTGCTTTTACGGAGCAGCTCACTGGGCATCTGGTAGTTCAGACCAAGGAAGTCCCAGCTACGAGTGGTGGTAGCAGTGCAGGTTCTGCTAGGTTTGACACTAATGACTTCCGGAAACTCTGTAAATTTCATATTACATGAATCGTTTATTAGTTGACAAAGCCATAAGAGAAAAGGCTGGTTTCGGCAGATGCGTACTAATTCTGTTGTTATTTTTGTTAATGAAGACATTACCTGCAAGCTGTTCAGCTTGATCTTCGGTGAGCATTGCAGCGAAGCCTGAGAAGCCGTGCTTGTAGTTGTGGGTCATGGAGGCCAAAGAATCTTCCTTGCTTTTTTTTTTAAAAACACGCCGTAGCGCATATTTCATTAAGCAGATAGAGTTTTGAAAACAAGCCATGGTAACGACATGGTTACCAAAACCTAGCACTACTGGATTCACAACCAAAGATTACATTTTAGCAAATTTTGCGACAAAGGGCAAAACGAACTACAACCTCGCCAAGATCAGCCCTAGGCATCTGTTCCCTGCCGAGCACCAGCGCTCGGCCTCCTCCTGCATCGCGAGAACCAGCAGCCCAGGCGTGGATGCAACAGCATTAAAGGTGCGGGAGTTCCTTTCTTTCCACAACATCCAGCCCACCAGGAAAATAAGCGAATCAAAGCCACGTCGCAGCGATTTTTGAACTGTCTTTCTAGACCGCAACCACCATTCCAGAGCTGCCTCTCCATCATCAGCTGAAGGCACCTGCTCCTGGATACACACACACGACGGCTTGTGCAGCAGCAGCAATTCGTGAACCACATTACGACGTGCGCGATCATTGAGACCGCGGACGTTCCAGACGAAGCAACTGAAGGTCGTCGACATTGGATAACCAATTGGGCGACATCCGTGTGTGATGGCAACGCTCAGAGCGCCGCGTCCTCCAGACCATGGAGGTTTAGGTCCACAGTTGTCAGGTCAATTCCATTTTCAAGGAAGAGTTGTAGTGCCTCCCTTTTCCTGGTCGACATATCTCCCCTGAATGCCAGCTTGATCTTCTTCTCAACCTCAGAGGCATGCTCACCCTCCGCCACAGTGACTCCCAGCTTCTTAAGGAGCAGCAGTTGCGCCTGCACCGTTGCATTTGGTGCCCTTGGCCTTGCTGCGATCCTGCCACTCCGTCGCAGCGACGGGATGGAGACCGGCGTTCGCGCCCGCCGAGGCCTAGGTCCCGCGCGGATCAGGGGCGTGTGCATGGGGACGCACACCTCCGCCTCCAGCGCAGCCTGTGTAGCGGCTGCCGCATCCATGACAGTGGCCACATCATTGGCCGCATCCACTACAGAAACAGGTTCCTCCACAGCGCTCTCATCCTCCTCATGAAGTCCAGCCCCATCAACAACTGGGCTGGCCGCAACATATGTGGTGGAGACAAGTTCAGCCTCAATCAGGTCTGCCCACCAGTCCACCGAGTTCGAGGTCGACCCGGAAGTGGCCCCCTCCTGACCAACACACGCTTGAGCACTGACATCATTTGAAAGCTCATTCACCGCCAGATCAGCCCACCAGTCCTGATCAACATGTACAGGTTCGAGTGTTGAAACACCCACGTGGAGGAGCAGTGGCGCGACGTTCAGGAACCGCGCCACGACACCGGTGGTAGGGGAGCCCAGCTGCCTATCAATCCACGGTGATGGAGTGTTGACCGTCGTAAAATTTGATGCCCGCGTCCAAGGAGTACGCGGTGCAGACATCATCTCCCAACGCTCGGGAGCCTCCACAGACTCCTTGCGCGTGCCATCAACATCAGTGTGCCGAGCAACGACCTCCGGCGCACAGGGGCATCTGAACTCGCCCACCTGCACAGACATGGATGGATCACGTCCACCCGCTTCCTCTGGTGGGTAGTAGCATGTTGGGTGATAATTATTACAGTTGCTATCACCGGAGTCATCATCACTATCGCGCCGCGGTGTTGGCCAATGCTCCCCCCGGTCTTGAAAGTTATCATCAGCACGACCATCATCAGGGCCATCACTATCATCATTACGAACATCATCACTAGGTGAGGCAGGGGGTGTGGTCCAATCCTAGAAGGCGACCACCCTGATCCTAACCTGGTACTGCAAGAGGCGTGGCGGGGCAGGATTGCCCATAGCTGCAACAGGCAAAACAGGCTCCGGAATTGAGATGGTCTGCTCGTCTTCGATGAGATCCGGATGTTTGCACCATGCCTTGACAAAGAATTCTCGGTCGTCATCATCAGGTATGTCTCGAAGCCTTGTGATTTCAATCCCCGAGCAAGAAGGGCCCAGGATGATCTGGGCAGTAGCCACATTGCGCGCGTGAAGCGGTACACGCAGCATGCCCACAACCACCTGAAAATTGAAGCTTTCTGCAGTGGCCAGTGAAGTTCGTTGCCAAGGTCTCCAGGTGAGGGGCAGAAGGTATCCACCCGGCCGCGAAGCAAGGACACGGTCACGGTCCGCACGCCGGCGAAAACGTGCGATGAAATCTTCCGGGTGGTGCCGCCGCAACTGCACATCGTTCATTGTAAGCTCAAACTCAGAGTAGAGGAAGTTGTAGACTGTGGCCGTAGAAACCACCGGCCTGGTGCCCCCCACCAGGCCCACCAGGGCCAGCTCAAGTGCATCCTCGGCCGCCTGGATCTCCGTGGAACGCGGGATAACCACCGTGGGCGCGCGCGGGTCCCGAATAGCAGGGTCGGCAAGGTTTCTAGAGCCCCTATCAAACTTCGAGCTGGTGCCGGCGGCGGGCTGGAAGACAGGTGGCGGAGGTGGTGGGGGCGGCGATGGCGCAGCCGGTGGCGATGGATGCCGACAGCAGTAAGGCAGCGACGTGGACCGCCCTGCTGACAACGAACCCCCGGAGACGGTGTCCGCCGAGTTGGGCCAATGGCGCGCACCATCCGGGCGTCGCGGCGCGACTCGGCGAGCGTCCCCAGACCGCCGCGGGGAGCGGCCACGCTTCACCCCAACAGCCGAGGAGCGGGGGAGTGGGCAGCTCGCAGCGTGGTGGCCCTCGCCCCAACAGTTGTAGCATCTCGGCCTGGCGCGGCACTGCGCCTTGACATGGCCCGGCTGGAGGCAGTTGAAGCACAAGCCCTCCAGCTCCGGTGGGACGGGTCTCGGCGGCGACCTTGGAGGACTGTGGCGCCTGTCGCAGCGCCTGGAACGCACCTGGAAGAACCCTCCCGGTCCGGCTGTCCCCGAGGCCGCGCAGGGTGCGACGGCGGGGACCTCCCGCCCCGGACCAGAGCACACTGCGGCGGTGGGGGCGGCAGATCAGGCACCACGGCCGGGTGGGAACGTCGCGCGGCCGCCATGAATCCCTCCGTGCGGCGCTTGCTGTGACGATGACGACGCGCCCGCTGACGCTTACCAGCAGTCTCCATCACACTCTTCCCCTTCCCCTGCGGCGGCGACTCGGGCACATCAGAATCGGGATAGTCCTCCGAGTCACTGAGAGCCACACGCTCCATAGGACCACGGCCGAGGACATCTTCCCACTGCAGGTCGGCAGCCTCCGCCCGAAGCTCGCCCTCCGCTAGATCCGCCCAGGAACGACGCTGGGAGGGGCCCCCCATCATTCGCCAAGCTTGTTCAACCTCCGGACTCCTCCCTCTCTCTTCTCCCAGATCCCGACGGAGGCGAAGATCTTTTGCAAAGAACTGTTTACACATTAAAAATGTTTATGAGCACCCATCAGCAAATGAACTTGTACACGTACTTTTTCTGCTAACTTTGGATTGAATCTTCCTTGCTGATAAGTGATAATTGATTCAGCACAGAGAGTGATAACCTCTTTAGCTAATATGCAATGCCAAGTAATTTGAGAAAACCATGGTGCCTGGCTATACTATATATGAAAATAGAAGAGATATAGCCCAGGAATTATCTTAGAAAATATATGGCGCCTATTATGTAGTTGGCTTCATTAAAGATTTAATCACAACCCAATAACCCATGTACGCAAATGGACTTGGCTTGACTTTCAAAATAATATATAGGATGCACACAATAGGCTAATTCCCATTTGATACTCCATTCTGATCCCAAATTAAAGTCCATTAGAATATTGCATGTATATAATATGAAACTCGGCTAATTCATATAATATGAATATGTATATAATGTATTGCTTCCAATTAAAAGAGTATGTCATAAAATATTCCCCACGACCAATTTATATATCAAAATTAACTTCATATTTTGCGTAAGAAACATAATTATACTATTTGGCTGCTGATTTCTGCGCGGCTAGACAGCCATGCCACAGTATTCTGGCCACAACGGCAGCCACGTACCTTCCCAGAACAGAGTCCAGCAGATCATGGTGCGAAGCAATGACATCGTCGGGGTGTCCATGTCTCACATCGCCTAGGTATACGATATAAAGCTACAAACATATATATACAGACCGGATCAGAAAGAAAGAAAAAAAATGGATTTTAGAAACTTATTACTCCAATTTGCTAAGGCAGTCATATACTCTGTTTAGGTAGTGCAAATAAACTAGTGTATCGGCAAGAATATGCATCAGTTTCTTACCCTGCTACGCGATCTTCCATGCGCTCCCAATGACACTGTGCAAAAACAAAGCAGTATCGCCAAAACTACAGAGGCACGCGTGGAAGAATGTAACCCCATCTTTTTTTTATGTTCTTTGTGTGCGATCTTGCACTGCTGCTCATCGTGCTGATAATGGCTTAATGGGCATGTGTTTATAGACGTGTGCATGAATGAATATTGTGGAAAGACGCGTGTGAAATTTATATATGTAAGAGGCGTTCATGGATTGGTGTCTAGTTTGAGCTGGCCAACGTAGGAATGGAAAGAGTCCAAACAGAGATATTTAAACGAGGGACTTTTCATATTTTAAACTAGGGACTACGGACGGGGGGCAGGTGAGGAGGACGTGGACAGACAGCACCAGTCTGCAGAGCGGCACGGAGCCCCGCGAAAACAAAATCCAAAGGACCGAGCCTCGGATTATCTTATGACTAATTCATCCCCGGCCCATACCCGCTACGCGATGATCAGCCACGGATTATCTGATTAATTCTTTTTGGAAAAGATCTTATGACTAATTCATCTCTGGTCAATAACGCTACGCGATGACCTTGCCATGGATTATCACTCGTATAAAATTGATTTTCAACGACGGTTTTATTATAGAAGCGACATAATTTTTGCTATTGAAATCGATTCGAATCGTCGTCTCTATCGGATAGTGAGAAACTTGGCTAGTCTCAACATCGTAGTAATTGTATTATAAAATGTGATGGTTCAGATAAACATAGAATTACTACACCGGCTATAGTTACTATTGTACGCTCTTCAATGATATACTACATGTTTGGCACAGGATAGTTGCTAATCTAGAGATGAATAACTATAATTAACTTAACGACTGAATTATAATTGTATAACTGAGTTAATCGCTCTTTATGCAAAATATTGTCAATCTACCTCCACTTATAAAGTCTTGCATAATCCTTGGAGTCAATTTATTTCTGGTTTATGACGAATAAGTCTAGCTGAGTACCTTCTCGTACTCAGGGTTTTATTCCCATTGTTGTAGATGGTACAGTTTATCAAGGCTATTGCAAGAATTGCTTCTATCCCGCCATGGATGAGGAGTGAGTCTTGGGCAGGCATCTTTATTAATCCCTCTTATATGCTTTTGTGAATTGTGATCATGAGTTGGCCCTGTATTTGAACTAAGTTGGCAAATGCTAGTTTCAAACTTTAATTTGTTTTCGCTACTATCTATCGAATTTGGTTTGTAATAACATTATTTCGTACTCTGATGAATGGACTGTATCTGTAAACTTTACATATGACGTGCATATTGAATCATGTACGATATTGGTTGTACGTGGATCGTTTATCGAGACCCGTCGTGGTATTTGACGGACTACCGAGTTTATATAAGCTCAAGTATGACAGTACGACCGCTTGCAGATTGTCATTGTATTTATGCTCTTATAAATTAGTCGGTTCTGCGACACACAGTGGCAGCACCCTTCTCATCTGATTCTGAATCCCCAGGCTAGTGCTACTATCCTCACGGATCCGCGCCCTGCCTTGGTGAAGAGTAGAAATGAAGAATGGTTTCTCTTCTTCCCTGAGCTGAATTGTCGTGGGCTGCTGCGCCTGCGCGTCCATCTGGATCTGGGTGTACTTATACGCGATCCGGAGTCCTAACGCGCTGACAAGTAGAGTACTCCATGTGTACGAAACAGGACACCACGACGAAATCACCGCACAACACGCTAGTCGGATGATTTTTCTTTGTTGCTGGTTCGGATTTGAAAAGTCTGCGGGAACACGTTTGCACCTGATTTTTCTTTGTTGCTGGTTCGGAGTACTTGTGTTGAATTTTGGATCAAGCTGCCCTGCCTGCAGCCCCCAGGCCAGGGCAGCAACCAAATTAATACTGCCTGATCACCCAGGTCGTCGATTTTTATTTAGCACACGTAGGTAGGCTGAATCGACGTGGCTAGGTCGCGATCCAAGTGCTCCCGTAGACCGAGTCGGCGGACACAGACAGAACGTGTCTGGGAGCTTCGCTAGGAAGAGTGCTGGGATATTTATATCGGTAATTCTTTTGGTCCCGTTCGCTTTGGCTTATAAGTCCTATTTTTTAGTCAATGAATATTATTTTTTTCTCACAATAAATCAGCCAATAGTACGAGCGACCAACCTTTACTTGAGTATCATACAGACGCGGGGTGTAGGGATATGTGACATACAGCCTGTTCGCTTGCTCAGTAACGATCGTAAATTTTCAGCCAGAATGTTGTTTTTTTCTCTCACACCAAACCAAATAGCGATAAATAATCCACGATACGATCACGCCTCTCGAATGCAGTGATAACCTATTGTTCATTAATAATATCCAATCAGGTCTTCTATCTCATGCTCCGCTGCCCGGCCTGCTCCTCCTGCCATTGTTCCTATCGATGCTCTGCACGCTCGCCCCGCTCCTCCTACCGCTGTTCCTACCGATGCTCCGTGCGCCCGCCCCGCTCCTCCTGCCGATGCTCCACACGCCTACTCCGCTGTTCCGCGCGCCCCCTTGTTGCTCGTGTCATTGCTTCTGCTCCGCTGCCCATCCCTCCGGACGACACCGCCAGTGCAAGGAGAAGCAATGGGCCTTGGCGCGGAAGCCCTCCGACCTCGCCTCCTGCTATACCTCCGCGACGTCCTGATGCAGATGATGGAGGAGGCCGCACCAAGATATGATGTATGTTGCAAGTGTACATTTGAAATGTTTCAGATGCTTTAGAGGTATATTTCAATTGTTTCATACAGATGTTGCAAAAGTATATCGGGATGTTGCATATATTACAGTGGTTGTACACATGCGTTGCAAGCGTATGTTTCGTCTGTTTTTTTAGACGGAGGTTGCAAGTGCGTTTATATGGATGTTTGCATATGTTTTACACATATGTTGCAAGTGTTTTATCTGGATGTTTACGTATGTTTGCAATTGTTTTTAATTGTTTTTTTTTTGCATGTGTTGTATATGCATGTTTCAAGTGTTTCATCTGTCTTTTTTTTATATTACAAGTGTTGCATCTGAAAATTCTTGAAGTTTCAAAAATATATCTAATGTTGCAGATGAGATGCGCGTGGGCACGGGTGACACATACGCGGTCAAGTGAAGTCCGCGCAACACGGGCCACGCGTGGACACGCGAAACAGAGAGGAAACCGATTGCAGCCGCGGACGTCCGGACGCTAGCCGTGCTGAATTTATATTAGAGTCAATTATATTGGATATAACACGCTAATGGCTTATCAGCCGCCAAACATATACTCCGTACACGGAATCAGTAGTGCAGGCGCACACACGCACCACCCAATTCATGAACGAACGTACGTGGATACAGCGCGACCGGAGGCTACAAGAGCATGGCTGCGGTGGCCAGCAGCGAGGAGCCGACGCACGCCGTCAAGCTGGTGCCGCCGCTGTGGGTGGAGTTTCCCCTGTTGCGGACGCCTCCGCGCCTCCCTTCCGTGACGCCGACTAGGCTCTCCGCGCAGAACAGCAAGACGAGGAGCGCGCACAGAGACATGAACTTCCTCATCTTCGCCTAGTCTCCGGGGCTGGCGCTGGACACACGAAACGGCTTTGTTGCGATTGGTGAATGTCTGAATGTTTTTTTGTCTCTTCTACGTACAAATAATATATGGAAGACGCCTGGTTCTATTTATACATGATGATCCGGAGCTGACCGTTCCTGATCTGCTTACCATTGACCAGGTAGTAGACCACACACGGGTTGTGAGCACCAGACAACACGGTAGTTGGATATCCATGTCTGAAAAGGAAATATAGGCCATAGACGTTCTGCCAAATGAATTGGACTGCAATGTAAATAAATACTCCAGCATTCTTGATAGCGAAGCTCCCCTGATACGTTTGCCTCTGCCGACTCCGTCTACGTGCACTGGCCAAGTAGTTCGATTGTTAGCTGACAGCCTAACACTGAAACCGCGCGGATTGCCGACTTTGCAACGCGGTCCAAGCTTGGTTTTGCTCCGCCCACCGGTGCACATTGCTAGCCTGAAAGAAACGTTCTTTGTTTCATCAAAAAAAAAGTAACGTTCTTTACGATAGAAATACTGATCCGGTAGCTATGGAAGCTCTACAAGCATTTCAGTTCTCTACAAGCCAAGATAAGGTCAAAGCCAAACCAAAGCCCACCATCGATCATCGCTAATTCATTATGTCCGCAGACTCAGAAAGTATCGCACTCACCGAGATGCGTCACCTCCCCTATCTCGCCGGCTTAGCTTCATGTTTACGAGCTTTGGTTCCTAAAGCCATGGCCCATGGATCATGGATGATGGGTTCCATCTAGTGATTGGTTTGTGTCATCCGATCGTGTTGTTTCCCTCAGGGCAAGGCCAAGCAGAACTTGGGGCTTCTCTGCAGAATGCCTGTGCTTGTTTGTTCACATCTGTAGTGTTGGCTCCAATCCATTGGTGGGTGCTGGGTTTGTTCTCCTGGCTGGTTGAAATATTCCTCAGGAAATTTCTCTAGCCTGCAGTGCGTTCCACGACCATCCATATCCAGAGCAGGCTTGTTACTGTGTTTTTCTTGAGGGCAGCTTTATCAAGACCTGCAGCACAGTATCTTGCACCAACGTTTTTGGCGCGCACCCTTCCATTGTGGTAGTATTACTATTTCTTGGCATCCATGATCCTTGCAGCTTCTCTGCATCAATTATCTTAAGTACATCCAAAGGGTTATGCACTTGTGTTTGAAATGACTTGTTTTTGCCAAACAATTACATTTGTAATCGACTACCAGTATCATTTATCCAAGAAAACAAGCCTTCTCCATGATTACTACTCTGCCGATTGCCGAATGATTCTAGTAGTAAGCTAGTAGCTAGCTAGGTGGTTGATGGTTTTAGAGATTAAGGTTGCTACTGCTGATTTTGAGTACTCCCCTCCACGTTGCAATTCTCTAATTTTGGGGAAAGGGGGGAAAATCCAAAACATTTGTTTTGGTGGGACCAAATCATTAGGCTAAGCTATTGCTATAGTACACAAATTACAAACTATATCCTCAATGAAAAGTGTGTTTGTAACAGAACATCTATACTTTCACGTAGTTATTAGAGTTGTATATTAAACACAAACTAGATTTAGCCCTTACAATAGTGAAGCTGCTTGGCTACATTTGATAAGAAAAACAACTACAAACCACAGTGGAAGTGGCATCTCTTATTTCCCTGTACTATTGCCAAGAACACAATTATATTTCCTTCAGAAAGGAAAATAACCCTATGATAGTGGAAGTTGCATCTCTTATTTCCCTGTACTATTGCCAAGCACACAATTATATTTCCTTCAGAAAGGAAAATAACCCTGTGATATTTCCTTCATGTTTCTCTGTGTTTATGCAACATCTGCATAGGAATCATAAATCGTCATTCGGACTGCTATTGGAATCCGGACTGTCTTTTGGCCACTGTACCATGTAAGGCTGCCAAACGTGTAATCGCCTTGTAACCTCCAGAGAGGTGATAACTTCACTTGAAATGTGTTAACTTTGTTTGTGGCATTGAACGCAAGAACAGATGGCTCAATGTCTATCTTGACTCCGGCTGGGCTCTCTATTGCAGCGTGGTAAACTGCATCGGCCTCACCTACATTTGTGACTGTTCTTGACACTGTAATCGGCTGCCTCAAATCTGGAATGGAGATGGATGGTAGGTTCAGGTGATACCCAGGTAACATTGTTGCATTGCATCGTACGGATTTCTTGAAGCTGCACCCGAAGAACTTGTTGTAATCATTAGGATCAATGTCGTAAATGAGTCCAGGATCAGCTGCCCTATTTGGGTTTATGTGCCCCGCTCCGTAGTCAAATGGGTCAGCAATCTTCCTAGGCAATCCTTGTGCCAGTATTGGCATGTCACGTTCATCAGTTACAGATGCTTCAGCCATGCAAAAATGTGTTAGATCAGACAAGCTTCACATGGATTAGAACTAGTGTTCTGAATTCTGGTTGTTACCTGTTGTCATGATGGCTGATTTTAGTGCAGCCGGGGACCAATTTGGGTGCAATGCCTTCAGCAGCGCTACAATGCCTGACACGTGTGGTGTTGCCATAGATGTCCCTGAGCCAAATATGTATGCATCTTTCATGGCTGCTAAGATGCTAGCTCCTGGCGCTGCGATGTCAGGCTGTTAAGGAAGCAAGACTGCAGTGAGATGACAGGTAATATGGTTCAGTATCTAGTGAAAGCTACGCTTTCTTGTCTATGTACCTTGATTACTTCAGGGTACTGGATGGATGGACCTCTTGAGGAAAAGGCTGCGATGGTTGGGGCCAGTGTCTCCTTACCAGTAATGGTGCGCGCTGGCTCGATCATAGCCACAGGAGAGCTGCTTAAACTAAAGAGCAAGATTTTACCAGTAAACAGGGTCTTGGCATTCCCAAATGTTAACTGATCAGGAAGGTGGAGATCGAAGAATGCAATTCACCTTGCATCCACCATGTATTTGCCGATTTGAAGGGCAGTGGTCAAGTCCACAAGAACACATGCAATGCCTCCACAATCACCTGTCGCATCGATGATATGCTTGGTGTATTCAGCAAAGATGAGACCAGAGCCTCCGGCGTTCAGGACGTTTTCTAGTGCCACTGGGAAAGAATCGGCGGATGCGCAGAGCACAACTTGGCCTCTCACATTCGTGCCGTTCAAAGAATCGGCGGTGCAGCTAACATGAAAGGAACAGAGCCTGGCCGATCACTTTCGGAAAATTCACACAAATTAAGCAGCGAAGAACAACAAGGGACTTATCGTACAGGCCTCCAAATGCAAGAGGTTTGAAGCTGCTTCCCGTTGAGTTCTTCCCATAGTAGTACAGGGATTGACCCTGCAAAATTAGCAGAGCTTGCTCAAGATCAGCATAGGTATTAAGTCATGAATCGTGAGTTATCGGTTGTGTTTCGTACCACGATCTGTTGCTTGTTTCCCAGCGTTATCATGGTCGGGAACGAACGATCAATCTGGCTCGCCGCGACGGTGATGACCCAGGGCAGCAGTGTTCCGAACCACCTGCGACGCCGGCCCAAAGTTCCCCGCGGCGTACACGACGGCGATCCCTTCTGAACGGCGTGCAGGGCACCAAAGAGTTCTCCTCGCTGGCGAGGGAGAGTGACAGGACATCTACCCCGTCATGGATGGCGTCGTCGATGGCCGCGAGCAAGGTGGCTGTATTGGCCGCTCCAGCCCCGCGGCCGCTGCCCCATACGGCCTTGTACACCGCGATGCGGGCCCTGGGCGCGCCGCCGCGCGCCGCGCCCGCGCCAAGGCCGTGGAAGCTAGCCGCGTCCACGACGGATCCCGCCGCGGTGGACGCCGTGTGCGTGCCGTGGCCGTTGGCGTCCCGAGGCGACAGGTAGTCGATCTTGAGTTCTTCCTCGGCCACGCCCGCGCTGTAGAAGCGCGCTCCGATGATCTTGCGGCTGCAGTTGTTGCTGCCCCAGCCCTCTCCGACCTGGCACACGCCTTTCCACCGTGACGGTACCGGCCCGTACCCTTCGTCGCTGAAGCTCCTCGACTCCGGCCAGATACCTGCAGCAAGTGCACCGTATACAGATAAGCCAGGATCATTGTGTTACTCCAGTATCAACAACCATTGGCGCCGGAAAGACATGCATGTCATGTGATGTGCCTGCGGTAATGCTACGCGTCGTAGGTCCGACACGAGCACATCGTCGGACGCTTCCATAGGCACACCACCTCGTTACTTGCGTTTTTACCCGCCCGCTTTCGCTCTGCCGCCTCCTGCGAGGCCCACCGTCTCGTTGCTTGCGCTTTTACCATGTCCCTTACTCTGCTCGTGAGTTTATAAAAAAATCACCCATCCTTATCCGTTCCGCTTCCTCCTCCCATGTCGCAGTGCCTTACGGCTGCCCCGTCCTGGATGCTGATGCGTACTCCCCTCGCTGCTGCCGCGCGCCCCATCCGTCGTTGTTCGCTCACGCCTCTCACCCCCCCATCACAGCAGCAACACCTACCACCCGACCCAAGCCCGGTGCTGGTGGCGGTGGTGCTCGTGCGCGCCGATGGTGTTGGATGCTAGTGATGCTCGCGCGCGCCACTCGCCGCCGGCTGCCACCCCGACAGCCGGAATTGACCGGCACAGGCGCTCCACTTCCCCTATGTTTCCAATATATGTTTCAAGTGTTTCAGACGTTTCAAAGGTATATTACAGTTGTTTCATATGGATGTTGTAAAAGTAGATCGGGGATGTCGCACATGTTGCAAGTGTTTCAGAGACACGTTGCAAGAGTTTATTTAAAATGTTTCATCTGTTTCAAACGTATATTGCATACATTTTGATCTGGATGTTGCATATGTTTCACACATGTGTTGCAACAGTATGTTCCAAATGTTTCATTTATTTCAGTCTTCCGTTGTAACAAATGTTTTCATGTTACAAGTGTTCTATCTAGATGTTGCATATATTTTCACATATACCAGTACATCCCGATGTGCCGGAGAGAAATTTGTTTGCAGTACTACCTATGTCTATCTTTTGATCAAATTTATAGAGAAAATTATAAACATTTATGACAAATAACTACTAACTGTGAAAACATGTTACATGATGAATCTAATAGTACACTTAGTCATATTTCAAACAGAGAAAAGTCAACTTATACAAACTTTGATCAACAAATTATTCATATTATATACAAGTTTAGAATATGAAACTTGTACCAACGGATGTGATTAAAAGTGTTTCTTAGATTGTATTGATTCTTTAGCATGATAATATATAGTAAGAGAAAATAAAAGTCAAAACTGATTTTGTTTGACTTTCTCACGACGTTTATCACTCCAGAAAGGAGGGAATATTTGCTAACATAAACATTGGTAAATTTTTTTAATAAATTAGGTTAAAACTTAGATAGTTTGACTTTGGATAAAACTAAAACGTAAGTAATTCTAGACGGAAATAGTAGTTTTGTACACTAATATTGGTTACTAACCGGTGTCAATAACCCCGATGATTACGTCCTCTCCATAGTTGCTTCTCTGGAGAAGCTCACTGGGTGTTTGGTGGTTCAGACCAAGAAAGTCCCAGCTTCGAGTGGTCATCGTTGTGTAACTTCTGCTTGGTTCGATACTGATGACTTCTGTAAGCTCTGTTGGATATGGATTAGCGAAGGCAGAAAGGCGCGGTTAGTTTGCTGATATCCCTAGTCTCTACAGGCTATAACTGCTGCAAAGTCTTGCGCCTACAGACGGAAACACCTGACCTGCAAGCTGCTTAGCTTGGTCTTCAGTAAGCATTGCTGCGAAGCCTGAGAAGCCATGCTTGTAGTTGTGGATGATGGAGTCCAAAGTCTCTTCCTTGCTGAAAGTTCAGGAGTTCCACGGATATACAACATACTCGATCTCTTAGCAAGTAAACATCACCTAATAACTATGCAAATCTATGATAGTAAATAATGGAGAACTAGATATAGTTCATCGATCAGGGTTGATAAAAATCAGCAAGTAAAAGCAAATTCATGATCCATAGGGGTCAAATAGGAACTAGAAAGTACCTTCCAAGAACAGTCGTGAGCATATCATGGTGCGACGCGATTACATCGTTCGGGTGCCCATGTTTCACATCGCCTAGATAGACAATATAAAGCTACAAACACATAGATGAGTAGAATTTTGGATTTAAGAAGCCTTATTTAAGCTATACCATACGATAGCAGTGATGGCTGAACTATTAGCAAGCGTGCCTACCTTGCGAGATCGTCCATTTACTCCCGATAAAAGCAAGCAAAAGCAAAGTAGTAGCGCCAGATGGGCACGCATGGAAGAACAGAGTGCCATGTGTTTTTGCCAATATATGTCTCGTTGCACATTATTGAAGTTAATGAGCTGGCATTTATAGACGTGAAAGATGTTTTCTATTCTCTTCGTCAGCGACTCAGCGTGTGGGAAGAGTCCGTAACCACTCTCAATCTCATTATCCACAATACGTAGGCATGCCCCATCTCTACAACTAAAAAGAATAAAGTGTAATTATTTTTTGGTGCGATATTTATTTTGGTTCGTCCGTCTGCCCACGTTTGCGATCCCACGACATCTCCCGCATGCTGTGTCCTTTGGTGCGATTCTCCTTAATTAAATATTGTCTGTCATATGATAGAGGAATCACGACAAAATAGGAAGTATAAAATTATTGTGCTATCCATATACACATTGCATGTTTGCATGCACCAGCATACATGGCAACAAGCAAAAGGAAAGAGAATTAACACAGAAGGAAAGAGAATTAAGACAAAAGGAACATCTTTGTATTTCTGAGAACATTGTCAAATTTGTCTACAAAAGGAAAGAGAATTAACACAGAAGTTTTTGTATTAGATCCAGCATTAACATTTTTTTTTTTTTGCTAATTAAATTAGTTTGTGTGCTACGATCGATTTCCAAGATCACCGATAGGAGCAAAGCTATCGATTTTGCTTACGACCTAGAGCTACAAATTGCATTGCACTTCTTTGCAAAAGTCAAGGCCTGATTGAGCCAGTCCAGTTTAAAGATTTGATTTGGTCATTTGAGGAGATCATCCGTGCATCATGTGAAGATTGACGCATCCTGATTTCTAAGGTCGTGTATGCTGCAAGACTGATACAACTGCAACCTACACAGACTAGGGCTTGCTTGTTTGGTCTGCTGCACTACTTCAACCATATTTTTTAGCGAACGAACAGTGTTTTTTCTCTCACAGCATTTCAGCATAAGTCAAATTTTTACGAAACGAACGGGGTCAGTTTTTTTACTTTTAGCTCAAAAGCTGTTTTTCTAGCCTTTGGCTTCTAACGGTTGACCTTTTTTATTGATTTTTATAATAAATTTTAGCTCCTCAGCAAAAAAACAAAGTCGTTTATAACGTACTTTTTAGTTTTTAGTTTATTTTATCGGATGCTAGCTCAACAGTTAGGCTCAAATGTTTTAGCTTCTGATTTCTAACTAGCATAAGTCAGCAAACAACTCTTAGAGATGTAGATGGTGCTGGATTTGCATGACGCGTCGACCAGTCGTAGGCCAAGAAGTGGAGTGTATTGTTGATGGGCCATACACCTGGAAAATTGTAGTTTGGCTCTATTCTGATTGGTTGGACGACTTTGGGGATTTCTTTCTGTCTATCAACCAACGGGGAGCTGATTTGGGGCAAGCATTGACTTTTCATGATTTGTTGGTTTCAATTTGCCTATTAATTATAGCAACCATTAACAAATACTGTACACCTATATTTTTAAAGAATTTGTACATCAGCAACGGGATTTTGACATTCCTCTCTTAATTAATCTAAAGCGTAGCTTTTGCATTTCTTCACAGTTATTAGAGTTCTATAACAAATTAAATATATGTTTAGTCCACATAGCAAAGACTACTTTCCTAGAAGGAAAAGAAATGTAAGTAAAGCATTGTGGAACTTGGCATCTCTTTTTGTAATTTCGGCACGGCTAAGAACGCAATGATATTGAGCACTTTGGCGCGTCCTCCTTGTTTCACCATTGTTATGTCATACGAGAACTTTGTCTAACACGTGTGTAATTAGGAGTTTAGGACCACTAGTACCTAGAGTCAGTTGCGTAATCGTCGTGATCCTGGCTGAGTTTGCGCTGGGCTACCCAGACACGTAGTGTATGACATCCTTCTCCTACCTTGATACAAAGATATACAAAACTCTTGCTTATTCGAGAAAAGCATACGAGAGCTTGGAGTTCCTTATTTCTTTCTTTTTTTGGAAAGAAACAACAGGAGATCTGCCGATCATGTATTGTTAAAGAAGAGTTACAATCTTAGCAACAAAGAAAGAAGAAAAAATAGCCAGATGTGAGGCGGAGCGCCTAGCATGCACAAACACAGCTCAAAGATGCAAAGACAGAATTACATAGTTGTGACAATCTCTCTGGCGCTTAGCTCATGCAGCACACCAAAGCCTTGCCTCGTCCTTGATCTTGGAAAGGAGGGAGGGCTGGCAAAAGAAGAACGGGGAGATTCAAGAGAGGGGATCATGGCGGCCTTGCTAACCCAGCATTTGGTGGGACAATATAATAAAGGATCATGGATAATGGATTGATGGTGGAGTAAGGACACTGACAACGATACTTGTCTCTTAGTAACTTGTGCAAATATTCTGGGGATTTGATCACCAAAGGTTGGCTTGCACTATATGCAACTATGAACACCCACAACGTACATAGGCTGTCTCCAGTTGCGATGCCTCTAGGAAGGGAATGACATGAAAAATGCTACCATTGCACATCTGAAGACATTAGGTTTTCACCCTAAGACCGCATATGCAGCAAGTTGGCAAGTGATTCTGCAATGACGCCTCCAAGGAGGAATATGACGCATCAGGACACTATCGTCGCTAGCACCGTCTATGAGCCGAGTAAGACTTACACCAAGAAGCCAGCCTAACGGCCAAGCACCCATGGCAAACAACACATGGTTGTGGACGGTAGTGCCTGCCTCACACACCAGCTGCATGAACACTTGTGGTCTGCGTGACACCCACTATGGCTGCCAGAGGCAAAGCTTTCAACAAAGGGAGAACTATATCCAGGCCTGTAAGCTCTAGATCTACGACACCACGGCCGCAACACCAACTGCTGCATGACTGATAGGACCCGTACAAGGCTATCATGACGTTGGGGAAGGTCACCTCTTGGTGGTTGCCAGCGTTGCTGACCATGGTGTGGTGCTCCTACACCTACACACTCCAACAGTTGGGGCGACATATGGAGTCGTCGTCGAGTAGAAGGGCCACATAGGCGAAGCCGACTGTCTAGGGTGTTAGAGTGCATAGTTAGATCCATACCTAAACAGATCTACTAATAGAAGAACATGAAAGCATAACACCATAGAAGAAAACAAGCAAGCAAAATGACAATGAGGCTGGATGTTTCCCCTGATACAACTCAAGTCCAACTGTAACAAGTATGCACATATTTGACACATATATAACACAGGACCTATCGACGAGCCCGGCATAGATCCCGAACATCAGTGTGGCCAAAAGGGACGTACCCACACCCGGCCATCACCTTATCTGTGGGCATGACCTTTGGTGTTTTTTTGATGTCGTCGCTCGTCACGGTACTATCCTCCTCTACTTGGACACGCTCGAGAGGGCACCCCAACCAAAGGAGCACGCTGAGTCCATCGGGACTAGCCACTAAACACCTAGGGGAGCACGCCGGCCGAGGAGATCACCATGAACAAATCCCTCTTCCCACTAATAGATTTGGCACAGGGGAATCGGATCCGGCCTGAGAGCCCCGAATCTACCATTTCCATGACCACAACACTAACTGTCGCTCTGAGGAAAAGCACTTGCAAAATGGAGAAGAGACGAGAGGGGAAGGAAGTGGGCGTGCAAACGCAAATGTTTTTTCAGTAGCGACGATGTGGGCTGAGGCATTTCTAGTTTTACCTTCTCAATTCCGTATCGGATTAATTTGGCAGCGAGGAGGATGTGCCACGCGTGTGATCAGAGTAATGAGCTGTTCTACCACTCGCTTGCGACGGGTGCACCTTGCCTATCACACGATTGTGACCAATCTTGCTTCTTTACCATCAATTTTTGGACAAAAAAGAAACACTATTTACTTTAGTATATAAAGATAGAGATCTATTGAAATAGCAATTGAAAAGTACAGCAACAAAATGAAGTCGACATAGTTATCAGAGTTGTATATAACATAACAAATGGATCTAGACAACACATAGCCTATTTGGCTACAAGCAAAATAAATATAAGCCACGATGAAACTTGACAATTGGCATGTCTTATTTTCTTAATTTTTTTGGAGTGTGCTGAAAAAACTTTGATAATGAGCGATGCCATGCAGAATAAATGGTCCACCCCAGTTATGCAACATCTGCAAATAAATCATACATCGTGATCGGGGCCGCTATTGGAATTCGAACCTTCTTTTGGTTATTGTACCAAGTAAGGCTTCCAAATGTATAATCCCCTTGTAACCTCCACAGAGGTGATAGCTTGACTTGAAATGTGTGAACTTTGTTTGCAGCATTGAACACAAGAACAGATGGCTCAACTTCGATCTTGATTCCAGCCGGGTTCTCAATTACAACATGGTACACTGCATTGACCTCGCCTACATTAGTGACAGTTCTCCACAAGGTAACTGGATACCTCAAATCTAGAGCTGAGATGGATGGCAGGTTCAAGAGATACCCAGGTGTCGATGTTGCATTACAGCTAACAGATGTTTTGATGGTGCAATCAAAGAAGTAGTTGTAATCCTTTGGATTGATGTCATAAATCAGTTTAGGATCTGCTGCTCTGTTAGGGTTGATGTGCCCACCTCCATAGTCAAATGGGTCGGCAATCTTTCGAGGCAATCCTTCAGCCAGTATTGGCATGCAATCTTTGTCAGTTACAGATGCTTTAGCATGCAAAATGAAATAGAGGTAAATAGATGTAACATATTGCCTCGTAAACTAATCATGGCTTCAGTGTTAGTTTGATCTCCACCAATTGGCCTGATGACCAATTGGGACCTTGGATCAACGCCCTGATCGAGGGCGTCCAACCACTCTATGGTTGGTGGGCACCCGTCGCACAACACCATAAAAGGAAAGTTGGGGCCGGGGCACGAGGTGAGAGGTTGACCTGAGCCGCCGTAACCCGCCTATAGAGAAACCCTAATCTGATCAAAAGAGAGTGTGCTGCCAGCGACAGGAAGCCGCCACCGACTTCACCATCGCCTCTACATTGCCACTACTGCGCCGGACTTCACCGCCCGCACTATGTACCCGCTGCCATGGAGGCCACTCCCTCCTCTACCTCCTCTGCTAAGCCCAAAAGGTATGGGCCTCTACTCCTTTTCTCTCTAAGTTTTCTCAGCTTTCTCAAGGCTTATACACTTGCAATAGTGAAGTAAACCCACAAGATCTACTCCCAGTTGTTCCTAAGATTCTTTCAATGGTATTAGAGCCAGGTTATCCTAGTGTGTAGATTGTAGACCAGGGTAGAAAAGTGAAACAGAACATGAACTCTAACCCTAACCCACAAATAGTAGGCGGGGAAGACGAACAGTGGGTTCAGTCAAACCCTAACCGACCAAACCTGAACCCGTGACCCAAACCCTAATCTAGAAGAAAGAAAGAAAAGAGAACCTACTGGCCAAATCTACGACTGGGGAAGGGGAAGAAGCAAAGAGACTGTGGGTTTGAACCCTAACTCAAACCCCAAGCACTAACCCGAACCCTAATCCATCGGGGAAGAAAAACAGTAACCGATCTCTAACCCTAACCCTAAATCGGATCAGCTCTGAGAAGAAGGGAAACAAGATGCGAACAGAGAGAAGAAAGAAGGGGAAAGGGGGAAGGGCATGGGAGGCGCCTCGCCGACCTCCACTCATCGGGTCACCCGGGAAGGACGTCAGCGCCGGTACAGACCGGACGCGCTAGGGCATTACTGCCAGGCCGCTCGACGGTGGCGCAGTCACCCGCTGGGGAGCGCGCGTGCTGACGAGGGGGCCAGGCGATGGTGCCATCATCCTCTTATTCTCTGGTCTCTCTCTAGTGGACACTGCACTAGGGCACCACCGCTAGGCCGCTCGACGACGGCGTGCTCACCCATAGGGGAGCGAAAAGGCCGGCGACGACGCCATTCCTCCGCCGCAGGCACCTTCAATCACTCCGTTTGGATGCGGCACGACAGAGAAGAGGGAGACCCAAATGACCTAGGGTTTGGGGGGACGATGCCGCGCGGGGTTTTGTTCGCCCGAGATCACCGCGTGGCCATCGGATGAAAATCAACGGCGTAGATTCATCGGGCTAGATTAGGCCCAGGCGGGAGGCCGCTTTCCCGACCCAGGCCCAGGTTGTGGCCTGGGAGGGCGCCGCTGGTGAGCGCGCGAGCTGGGCCAGGCTGTCTCCGCGGTCGGGCCGAGTGAACAGTGAAGAATTGAGCCTTTTCCCTTTTTCTTTTCCAGTGAATTTAGTTTTTTCCTAGAAATTGATTATTGGCTCAAATAAAATTAGTTTTGAGGAGTTTTTTCTGTGGGTCAAATTCTCCCATTATGTTTATGTTTCTGCTGCAAAGTTTAAAGTTTATTATCTTTTAATTAAATTCCAACCAACGGGAGAATTTAATTTGAAGAGCAGTTATATTTAGTAAATTATGATCATGTTAATCCTCTAATTAAATTAGAACCAACAAAAAAATTTAATTAGAAGAGTAGTCTATTTTTTGTTTAATTAAGATTATGGTATTATCATTTTCTGACCAATGTTGATGATGACAATATTATAATAAATTTAAGTTTAAAGTTTAAATCTCAGATAAATTTTACACCAACGTGGTCAATTTTCAGAGAGTAGTTAAGGACCAATCTTAAACTAAAAGAATGTATTTCATTTAGTTTTCGCTTCAATGAAGTTGATTATCTTTAATTAAATTTGAACCAATGGGAGAATTTAATTTTGAAGAGTAGTTATATGTATTTCAAGTTGATTTATGAGTTCTATGCATTAATTCTATTTTCTGTCCAACGGTGATGTAGAATTGATGCAGAAGCACCTTGTATGTTTTAATTCGATGAGATCACTCGGTTGTATGTCAACGGGCTGCAATGCTGGGGTATGTGAAAGAAAAGGCTTGAGTCAAGCCAGTTCAAGACAATTTTTGTTAGTTTACTAATTTTCTGATTAAATTAGAACCAATAGGAAGATTTAATTAAAAAATGAAGTATAAGTGAATGTTTAGTCGTCATGACTAAGTTTTCATATAGATGTATCCCGCATGGGGAGAAGTTTTGGCATAGTAATTATGCTAGTCCATCCAGCATGGCGGGAAAAGTTTTATGATGATTCACATGTTTTGTATCCCGCATAGCGAGAGAAGTTTGGGTTGCTCTTATGTTGTCCTAGTATTAATCTTGGCACAATAGAAATGCATCGTCATGGTCAATACTAACCAAAAGATAAGAAAAGATACAAGTGTGACTTGCAAAAGTACCGCTAATGAAAGACCTCGTTGAATTCTTAAAGTGAATTAAGGAAAGTGTACTCCTAAACGGATCAAGAAATAACTTTGTTTACATGACACAATCATGTGAACGAAGTAAGTTATAAGTGTCTCCTTGTTTATAAGCTTTTTGAATAGCTATCGAAATTATGGCAGTAAAGTTCATGCCATATTTTGAGGGGGAGAAAAAAAATATAAAGATCAATTAAGAAAGATACTCTTCATTAAGAGTGAGATAAAGATTAATTAAGATGAATGTGACCGTCGGAGGAGTACAATAGTCACAACAATGATACCCCTAAGTAGAGAAATAGCTAAATTCCTGGAATTTTTAAAGTTCCGATAGGAAAATAGCGTAGTCAGTCTCAAAGATGTTAAGGTGGTGCTTAAAGCGCCTTATGAGATTTTAAACGGATTAAACCCAAAATAAGATATTTAAAGATACACCATCTTTAGAAAAGATGGGAAGATCTGGGGGAGCATGGTATGTAGAGGTATGTAGAGACCTAAGACTTGAAGAGAAGAGGGACTACGTGCCCACTCCAGTGACTCAAGTGCAACAAGTTTCTTAATACCTGTTGATGTTGTATGACTAATACAACACCTGTTGTTAGCTCTTCGAAGATGAATAGTGTAAATAAGGATCTTGTAATACAAGAGCCTATAGAATCAATTGCCTCTTGGCAATGAAGAGCAACAACAGCCCCATATGAAAGTGCCAGTAGCTGAGGCCCTAGAAGGTCTCAAAGAATTAGTAAATCAGTTTTTCTGATGATTATGAAGTCTATGTTAGTAAAGAAATTTAAATGAAGGGTGATCCCATCTCACTTAAAGAAGCCATGAGAAGCGTTTACTTGTTTAAATAGCAAGAATCTATGAAAGTTGAAATGAATTCGATGAATACCAACGATGTTTGGGACTTAGAAGTAATTTCTAATGGAGCCAAAACAATAGGCTGTTAATGGATCTACAAGACAAAATGTAACTCCAAAGGAAATGTAGAAAGATATACAGTACGACTTGTGGCAATATGCTTTAAGCAAAGAGAATAAATAGATTACAATGAGAGTTGTCTTTCTAGTCTTATGTAAGGATTTTTTAGAATCATAATGGTGTTAATGACACATTACAATTTAGAGTTACATCATATGGATGTAAAGACGGCATTCCTCGACGGGGATTTATATGAAAACGTTTATATGGCGTAACCCAAAAGATTTTGTCATGGAAGAAAAGAACATATGGGATGCCGCCTGTAGAAATCCATTTATGGGTCAAAAGTAAGTCTCTAGACAGTAGTATTTGAAGTTAATGAAATGATAAGAAAGTTTGGGTTTTAAAGAAAATAAGAAGGATAGTAGCGTTTATGTGAAGTTCAAGAATGGAAGATTCATTTTCCACATTCTATGAATAGATGACATTCTACTCACTAGTAGTGATGTTAATCTGTCATTGGAGAAGAAGTTTTGTCCTCAAGTTTCAATGTGAATGATCTTGATGAAGCGTCATTGGTTCTACAAATCAAAATTCACCGAGATAGATAAAAATAGAGTATTAGGACTATCGCAAAGGCATACTTAGAAAAGATTCTAAAGAAATAAAGTATGCATGCGAGTAAATCTACGCCTGCTCTTATAGTCAAGGGTAATAGATTTGGGAACTTTAAGTGTTTTAGGAACCGATATGAGATCGATTAAAAGAATATGGTTCCATATGCTTTAGCTGTTGGAAGCTTGATGTGTGTACAAGTACAAGTAAGAAATTACCCTGACGTAGTCTATGTATCCAGGATATTTTGGCAGAAGTCCAGTTCATATATAGATCACTAGAATTGAGTTGAGAATATCTTACAATTTTACAAAGTATCATAGGCCTCATGCTGAGTAAGAAAGAATAAGTACTCTCAAATAGTTGATGGTACAAAAAGTTAAGTTTTGGCGAGATGTGTAGTGAAATCCACTGCAGTTGTCTAACACTCACAGTTGGAGTATTATTATGGAAAAGCTCCAAAGAAATAGTTGTGGTGTCATCAGTGATGCATACCATAGTATAGCTTGTCATGAGGCTTAAGGAACAGGCAAAAGAGGTTAAGGGAATATGTACCCGGATTTAACAATGATAGACAACAGCAATAACCATTTAAAGTAAGTTAACTCATAAGACAACAAGTCAAGTGTGCTGCCAAACACATTGACATTAAGGTATATGTTGTGAAGGAGAAAATTCAGAATCATTTTGAAAGCATTGAGCACATAAATACCGAGTAAGTACTTGCGGATTCACTTACCAAAGGCTAACCACCCAGTGCATTCAGAGAACACACAGTCGACATGGGTTTATGAGAAAGTCTATGATTTCTGGATACTAAGGACCTAGTTGAGTATCTGTTTCAAAACAGAGAGGTGCGTTGTAGCTGTTTAATCTAATGGCAACAGACCGTGACGATGAGGCATGCTCTATGCACTGATCTATGATGGAATAGGAACAAGATAAAGTAAGTAAGTTTAAGAAATAAGGTGAGATCAAGAGGGAGAATGTTAGTTTGATCTCCACCAATTGGCCCAATTGGGCCCTTGGATCAACGCCCTGATCGAGGGCGTCCGACCACTCTATGGCTGGTGGGCTCCCGTCGCACAACACCATAAAAGGGAAGTTAAGGCCGAGGCACAAGGTGAGGGGTTGACCTGAGCCACCGCAACCAGCCTACAGAGAAACCCTAATCCGATCAAAAGAGAGCGTGTTGCCATGGTTGTGCACACTAATCCGATCAAAAGAGTTCTTTTCTTTGTTTTCTGCGCTCACTAGCTAGGCTGAACCTTATTTTTTTTCTTATGGTTGTGCAAACCTTATGGCTTTAGTTTCTATCCTGACTATCACCTGTGTACCATCAGCGGATAGTAGAGGCTGGAACTTTGTTTCCTTATCTAAAAAATCTCCTGCCACAAAATAAAGTGATGTTGTTTCATACTGACAACATCGGAAGTTCTGACGCTAACTTCTGACGTGCATCGAAAGTTCCGATCCGAATTGGTACTTCTGACTATTTAATCTGTTGGGAGAATGAATTTTAGAAACACCTATTCAAACTCCTCTCTAAGCGACATCAAGGTCCTTTCAAACTCCGGTGCTTCAACCGGTGGGTAGTTAGCTTCCTAGTTTGTAGCATTCAGAAATAAGAAGCATCACCCTATGTTTTCTTGGGTCAGCATGTTAGTCTTGCTAGAATTTGTTGCAATTCTTCTCGGTTCAGCAAGTTTAGAGTTAAGTTCATATGGTGGTCCGGTAGGCAGATTATCAACTAGCGCTAGACCATGACCGTGATTTTCAGAAGCAAGGACTTCAGGGGCCGTTTGGATCACGGGAAAATCAAAGGAAAGTTGTAGGAATTCACATTGCTACGGAATGGCAGGAAATTTGATGTTTGGAACAAAGGAATCACCCAACCCTTTCCTCTGGAATCCTGTACCCAGATGCTCATTTCATAGGAAAACAAAAATCCACTCACACCTCAGGTTTCCTCTCCGTCGCGGAAGTCCGAGGCAGCAACATGCAACGTTCGGTTCTGATTGGTTTGAGTGGCATACTGATTCAATAAGGGCCCACATACAACTACCAAATTAGTTCTAATTTATTCTCGTTCGTGTGTTTTTCATTCCTGCGTTCCAAACACCTCTGGTCATATTTTCCAGTGTTTTTCTATTCATTTGTTTTACCACTTCATTCCTTACTTTTTCTCCGTTTTCTCTCGTTCCTCTGTTTTGTATTCCTTTGTTCCAAATAGGTCCTTAAATCCTTCTAAGGATCTTCCTAAACACAGACAATTCCTTAATTTTCAAAGCCCCTTTAGATAGGGCTACACCGCTACTGGGAAAACATATTAACAACTATAACTTTTTATCGCATAGCCATATCTGTCCAACGGCTAAGAATTTAGCACCGCAAGGCCTATTGAAAATTTCTAAAATAGTCTCTCAGAGCTGGTTTGGTACTACACAATCAAATAAAAAATGGTTAACGGACTCAGTCTCAGAATAGAACAAGCAAGAGAGGTCATCTACCTTTCTTTTTAAGTATCTAGTTAAGACCTTATTTTTAGATAGCAACCAGAGAAAGAAATGTACTACAGCAATTTACAATTTCACAGTGATGGATGACGCGATGCACACGTACTTGCGCACTTGTACAGCAGGCCGGTTTTGCCGTTAACTATCTGCTTGTTCGGCTGGGGCTGGCTGGCCAGCCCCCTCACATGGATACTATTCATATGAACTAGCCAGCAGTACTTCTCTCTCACATAAACGAACCAGTAACGATACGAACCAGTCAACCGAACAGGCTGTATGAACGCGTTGGACTGGGTGGGAAGCTGACAGGCCAAGATGACGTCGCTCTCGACGTCAACCAATGTTCCGGTTCCACCACTCGCCTGTTCATGACAACCTCATCCAGAGAGGCAGAGACAAGAAACATGGGATTCTTCTTTGTGTCCAAAGCGGCACGGCCAGTGGTGCCAAGCGGCCGCGGTTACCGAGCACGAATGGTGGAATGGCTACAAACCGTGTGGTTCATAAAGGCAAGCACAAAAGTGTGGGCTCATGGCTACAAACCGTATGTGTAAATATATTTAGGCCATGTTTGGTTACCCCTCCTAAAAGTTTTAGGAGCTAAAATCTAGATAAAATATGTCTAAAGAACCAAACACCCCCTCCTAAAACCTCCTAAAAGTTTTAGGAGGCTGGTTTTTTCTTTAGGAGCTCCACCCCCTCCTACAACCTCCTAAAGTCATTTCTAGACCCCCACTATCCCTCATTTATTGCCCCTCCTCTCTCTCTCTTCTAAAGAAGGGTAAAAGTGTCTTTGTTCAACAACATTTATTGCTTTTAGTCAGTTTTAGGAGGTGCAACCAAACACTCTTTTAGGAGGTTTTAGAAGGTTGTCTAAAACTTTTAGAAACTAAAGTTTTAGGAGCTCGGAACCAAACAGAGCCTTATACCAGTGTTTCTTAAGGCTACCATCGGTATAAATTCAAGATTTAATCAACGGTGCACTTAAGACAATCACCAATGTAAATTGAATCTGTACTAACTGTTGGCTTAATTGATCGCTAGTGTAAATATAAGATTTATACTGGCAGTGGCATTAAAAATTTGCTAGAACATACTTCCTCCCCGAGCAGCACTGTTTAGCCCGATCAAAGACACCATTGTTGGCGTCTTTGGAGATCCAAGAATTGCTAAATATAAGGTGGGAGATTTTGATCTTCATTCTTTTGAAGGAGGTTGCTCAAAAAAGTCAGATAATTTGTACCCTGTCTTTTTTGGATGAATCCTGTATATATAATTTGTGGCCTAATTAGATCTAGGTTTTCATGGTTTGTGTATAGAGAAAGAATGCATGTTGTTTGAGTATTTTAATACCGTATTAACTATAGTTTGTGTCTTAAAATTGATTAATTATGTAGCCTCACATGTTTCTTGCATTATAAATCCCTTAATTTCATAATTTACGGATCCTAGCACCACCATCCATGAATAGAGAATACTTAGATTAATTTATATCTTGGCAGTGAATTTGTTTGTTTATTAAAATATATCAATTAATTAGTCATACCTATATGTTCATTTATTTGTTAGTGAATAACTGGTCATATATAATGTTACTTTGAGAAAATTGAGTGATTATTTTAACAATTTAATTATTTAATCATACCTATATATTATTGTAATTTTTATATTTTAATTTACCAAATTTTCTTCAAATAAAGGTCTATGTATATTTTTAAATACATTTACAGCCGCATTAAATTATTATGTAGATCCTATGGAATTTTGTAGTTTAAGATGTAGAGGGCATGTACGTACAATTTATAAGGCTTGATCTATCGTACCGGTTAGAAGGTTGGTAGATTTATTAATGCCGTCAAGACACAGAAGTAAAGGAAAATCAAATAATCCAAAGTACATCATTAAACATATCTTGGTAACCTAAAATGTACGGTAGAACAATCCATGAATGCTAAATGAACAATCGAAAATATGTCATAAACATATTATTGTAAAAAAAATATACCGTAAAACATCCCATGAATTTTAAGGGAACGATTGAAAATACATCATGGAACAATCTATGGTTACAATATAAAAATATAAAATACACTACGGAACATCTTATGGATACCTTGAGAAAAAATAATAAAAGTACACTATGGAGCATCCCGTGGATAATACACGAATAATTTAAGGAATGGTATTTCTTCGTGAAAAAATGCACAATGTCAAAATAAAAAATGTTATTTCTTAAGGAGAAAACATCTCACAATAAACATAATGATATACAAGGAAGTCACAATAAAATTAAAATTACTGATGTACAAAAAAATCACAACGTACTATACCGTTGCAAAGAACACTATAAAAGGAAAACAATGATATAAGATAGCCATCATGTTCCAACCCAATTATGCAACATCAGCATAAAAATCATGGAGTGTCATCCGGGCTGCTATTGGAATCCGAACACTCTTTTCGCCCTTGTACCATGTAAGGCTGCCAAATGTGTAGTCTCCCTGTAGCTTCCACATAGGTGATAGCTTCACCTGAAACGTGTGTACTTTGTTTGTAGAATTGAACACGAGGACGGAAGGTTCAACATCCATCCAAACTCCAGGTGGGCTCTGGATTGCAGCATGGTAAACTGCATCGACCTCACCTACATTTGTGACTGTCCTCGATACGGTGATTGGAGACCTCAAGTCTGGAATAGAGATGGACGGTAGATTCAGGTGGTAGCCTGGTACCAAAGTTTCATTGCAACTTGCAGATGTCCTGCTGATGGCGCAGCCAAAGAACTTTTTGTAATCGCTTGGATCAATGTCAAAAATCAAGCCAGGATCAGCTGCCCTATTAGGGTTAATGTTCCCACCTCCGTAGTCAAATGGGTCAGCAACCTTTCGGGGCAACCCTTCAGCCAGTAGTGGCATGCCGTGTTCGTCAGTTACAGAGGCTTCATCATGGAAAATGAACAGAGTTAAGAAAGATGTAACATTGCTCAGTCAATGTTCAATAGTCATTTACTCTGTTCAGATTACCTGTGGTGACGATAGCCGATTTCAGTGCAGCAGGGGACCATTGTGGATGTAGAGCCTTCAGCAAGGCGATGATGCCAGCTACGTGTGGCGTAGCCATCGATGTCCCTGACATAGGTTCATAGGAGTCTCCCACTGCTGCTAAGATGCTAGCTCCTGGTGCTGCGATGTCAGGCTGTTAAGGAATAAGCAAAACTGCAGTGAGATGGCGTCCTAATGGTTACTGTGTAGAAAGCAATAGTATTTTACTGTAGTGTAGGTACCTTGATAACATCAGCGTAGTAGATTGATGGACCTCTAGAGGAGAATGCTGCCACTTTGGGAGCCAGTAACTCTTTACTTGTAAAGGTGCGGGCTGGTTCAATCTTTGCCACCGCGGAGCTGCTTAACAATCACACATTTATCTGTGAGGATTCAACTGTATATTAATTAATAAAGAACAAGCATGTAGTTCTGCTCAATAAGTGTTGTACCTCGTGTCTCTTATGTATCGTAAAATCTGGTAGCCGGTGTCAAGATCCACACGTACACAGGCAATCCCCTGACAACGGGCTGTAGCACCTAGAAGGTCGGTCGTATATTGGGCGAAAATAAGACCAGAGGCTCCGGCATCCCGCACGTTTCGCAACGCGACTTGGAATGCGTACTCCGGGACTAGCGGTAGAGATGATTCTGGGTCTGATGGAAAGCACAGCACAATCTTTCCTTTCAAATCCGTACCATTCAGAGCGTCCGCCGTGCAGCTAATCACGGGAAGTAGAAACCAACTGTTCAGCTTCAAGTTTTCTGACGCGTTTTTATATTAGGAAAAACAATCAAGAAAGGCAAAGTAACTTACAGGTCTCCGAATTCAAGACTTCTGAAAGTGCTGCTGGATGAGTTCTTCTCTTGGTAATAGAGGGATTGTCCCTGAAAATTTGGTAGATTTCACTCAAGATCAGTCATCAACTCAATATACTAATTCTCGACTAGTGATTCTTCAGAGCGTGTACCGCTATCTGTTTCTTGTTTCCCAGCGTGATCACGGTTGGAAACGACCGATCAATCTTACTCGCAGCTACAGTAATGACCCAAGGGGCAGTGTTCTCAACGGTCTGTGGTCTTGGACCGCTGTTGCCGCCTGCGTACACGACGGTGATCCCCTTCTGAACAGCGTGCAGGGCGCCGAACGAGTCGTCTTCGAGGCCACCGAGGGACAGCGAGAGCACGTCCACCCCGTCATGGATGGCGTCGTCGATAGCCGCGAGAATGGTGGCGCTGCTGCCACCACTGCCTTGCCACAATGACTTGTACACGGCAACGCGGGCCCGAGGCGCGCCGCCACGCGCAGCGCCAGCGGCAAGACCGTGAAAGCTGGCTCCCTCTACGACGGAGCCTGCCGCGGTGGAGGCCGTGTGTGTGCCGTGGCCGTGGGCGTCCCGGGCCGAGAGGTACTCGGCCTTTAGGGTCCCTTCGTCAATTCCAGCGCTGTAAAACCGTGCACCAATGATCTTGCGGTTACAGTTGCTGCTGTTCCAGCCCTGCCCGACTTCGCACTTGCCTTTCCACCGTGACGGCACCGGGCCATACCCTTCGTCGCTGAAGCTTCTCGACTCCGGCCAGATACCTGAAGCAAAGCAAGATCGATCACCGCAGGATTAAAGATTTGTTTTAGTTCGAAGCAAACCAGAGCTTGTTCAGATTTGCGTAGAGAATTGTATTACTAACCGGTGTCAATAACCCCGATGATTATATCCTCCCCTTGGTTGCTTTTACGGAGCAGCTCACTGGGCATCTGGTAGTTCAGACCAAGGAAGTCCCAGCTACGAGTGGTGGTAGCAGTGCAGGTTCTGCTAGGTTTGACACTAATGACTTCCGGAAACTCTGTAAATTTCATATTACATGAATCGTTTATTAGTTGACAAAGCCATAAGAGAAAAGGCTGGTTTCGGCAGACACGTACTAATTCTGTTGTTATTTTTGTTAATGAAGACATTACCTGCAAGCTGTTCAGCTTGATCTTCGGTGAGCATTGCAGCGAAGCCTGAGAAGCCGTGCTTGTAGCTGTGGGTCATGGAGGCCAAAGAATCTTCCTTGCTGATAAGCGATAATTGATTCAGCACAGAGAGTGATAACCTCTTTAGCTAATATGCAATGCCAAGTAATTTGAGAAAAACCATGGTGCCTGGCTATACTATATATGAAAATAGAAGAGATATAGCCCAGGAATTATCTTAGAAAATATATGGCGCCTATTATGTAGTTGGCTTCATTAAAGATTTAATCACAACCCAATAACCCATGTATGCAAATGGACTTGGCTTGACTTTTAAAATAATATATAGGATGCACACAATAGGCTAATTCCCATTTGATACTCCATTCTGATCCCTAATTAAAGTCCGTTAGAATATTGCATGTATATAATATGAAACTCGGCTAATTAACATAATATGAATATGTATATAATGTATTGCTTCCAATTAAAAGAGTATGTCAAAAAATATTCTCCACGACCAATTTATATATCAAAATTAACTTCATATTTTGCGTAAGAAACATAATTATACTATTTGGCTGCTGATTCTAGGCGGCTAGACAGCCATGCCACAGTATTCTGGCCACAATGGCAGCCACGTACCTTCCGAGAACAGCGGCCAGCAGATCATGGTGCGAAGCAATGACATCGTCGGGGTGTCCATGTCTCACATCGCCTAGGTATACGATATAAAGCTACAAACATATATATACAGACCGGATCAGAAAGAAAAAAAATGGATTTTACAAACTTATTACTCCAATTTGCTAAGGCAGTCATATACATGATAACACTCTGTTTAGGTAGTGCAAACAAACTAGTATCGGCAAGAATATGCATCAGTTTCTTACCCTGCTACGCGATCTTCCATGCGCTCCCAATGACACTGTGCAGAAGCAAAGCAGTATCGCCAAAACTACAGAGGCACGCGTGGAAGAATGTAACACCATCTTTTTTTTGTTCTTTGTGTGCGATCTTGCACTGCTGCTCATCGTGCTGATAATGGCTTAATGGGCATGTATTTATAGACGTGTGCATGAATGAATATTGTGGAAAGACGCGTGTGAAATTTATATATGTAAGAGGCGTTCATGGATTGGTGTCTAGTTTGAGCTGGCCAACGTAGGAATGGAAAGAGTCCAAACAGAGATATTTAAACGAGGGACTTTTCATATTTTAAACTAAGGACTAGGGACGGGGGGCAGGTGAGGAGGACGTGGACAGACAGCACCAGTCTGCAGAGCGGCACGGAGCCCCGCGAAAACAAAATCCAAAGGACGGAGCCTCGGATTATCTTATGACTAATTCATCCCCGGTCCATACCCTCTACGCGATGATCAGCCACGGATTATCTGACTAATTCTTTTTGAAAAAGATCTTATGACTAATTCATCTCCGGTCAATAACGCTACGCGATGACCCTGCCAGGGATTATCACTAGTATAAAATTGATTATCAGCGACGATTTCCGCGACATAATTTTCGGCCGCCTCTGTTGAGTTCCAAATGAGTCGCCTTTAACAATAAATTTATAGAGATGACTCTAGTGGTAGACGTCTTTAAAATTCAATTTTTAGAGATAGTTCTATTTTCAGTTGTCTCTACAAATACTCCTATTTATAGAGGCGATCCTATTTCAGCCACATCTAAAAATAGAGTCACCTGTAAAAAATAGAAGCGACGTAGTAAAAATTTGAAATTTTCAAATAACATTGAATGGAGAAACGACCAAAAGAAAGGTTGTAGATCTCGAAGAGTTATATAACTTTATAGTTGACAATCTTTTCATTAAAAATCATCTGTGCAAGGAAAATTATGTTTGAATTTCTCGTATTTGAAATTCAAAATTTTCAAAAGACCTCGGATGGAGAAACGGTCAAAGAGAGTTCCTTGGCCCTAAAAAAACTTATGCTTCTTTCCTTGGCCCTCTCAGTTCTGAACTTACTATTTACCCTAAAATTTGGAAGAAGAGTCACAGAGACTCGAAAGCTCTCGAGATCATGTTATCGGTGGATCATTTGCGTGCAGACTAGAATCAGTTGATTTGAATGCAGCACTGGAATCGACCTTCTTCAGATAGCGTCAGCAGATAACGACAAATGACACAATCGGCGCTGGAACAAGACATGTTGGACTATACAAAAAGGAAAAGATTAAAGTCTAAGTTATCTTAAATTAGGAATGTTTTCTCTTAAGGCCAAAGATTGTGATAAGTCGTACTTAGATAGAAGTCATGCGCGGGTCTCAGGTATAAATATCAAAGCCCGGCTATTGTAAAAACACAATCAATCCAATATACAAGTCATTTACTTTTTTCGGCTCCGGCCATCCCTTAGGAGTAGGAGTAGAGTAGATCTCGACGAGTTCTTCAGCAAGTACGACTGCATCGATCCGATCGACCTCCACTGCTTATCTATAAGTACCGTCATGGCTTATACCTCTGTTCGTACGGCTGCATCGATCCGGTCAACCTCCACTGCGACTCTGATATAAGTTAGTTATCAATTCTTGTCTAGTTTAAGTATAGCTGCATCGATCCGATCGACCCCCACTGCATGAACTAGATCAAGGTCAAGTTATAGGCTCTACCTTAGAATGACAGTCTTTGGTAGATTAATTAAGTTACCGATATTGCTTATTGCCTCCATTATTTATCTAATTACAGCAATATCACTCTGCCCGATTGGGATTGATCTAGACCGGCCTTATATCTTGTTCAACCCATCGTTTGTTAATATCAAAACTGATCTAATCTACATGTTAAACAATGACTTATGTTTTATCAGCTGTTTTATGTCAATCCTGATCGTGCATAGCGTGCGGTTAAGGCATGTTACATCTTGAGTAGATCTATTGGCTAGCGAAAACCGTTCCATGGCCCGTTATCACGGCCTGTGTGATTCTGCCTCATACCCCACTGTTAGCACCGTGGAGTGGGGATCGTTATTTAGTAGATCTATTCCTGATAACGCATAACCTTAACTGTGCGCTATGCCTGAATCGGCTGTTTTAGCCGATATCGAGTGCTTTCACGAACAGTTCGCATCACGAGACCATTGAAGTAAAGATATATTGAAAGATGTGTTAGTCCCATGATTTTATTATTATATTACGGCCTGCATGATTCTGCCTCATGCCCCACTGATATTAGTAATGAGTTAGGGTCGTCGAGTTTATTATTGTTTCTACGTCCTGCATGATTCTGCCTCATGTCCCACTTGTCATAGCGATAGATAAGATCTAACATGTTCATTAGATTTATCTTTATTAAATGGTTAAATGGTGTTGAATTGTTTCTTTATATAAAAGGGGTTCGGTTACTTGTAATCATTGGCTCAGCATAAATCAATCACATTGATATCTTATTGCCATTGATTAATATTTGCTCAAATGATGATATTTATCCTGAACGATAACTGATTCTTCCTACACAACCACATAAGTTTTAACCAATTTATTCTTATGAATTCACTGGAATCGACTATTTAGTCGATCTCCTTTCATATCGGCTTTCAGAGCCACATATTTGGGACTGTCTGGCAACACCGGCATGTTCGCCCTTAATTACTGATAAACTTTCTCTCTTTGTCAATTACAGGGTCAAATTGACTGGCACGTCTCGGGAGGATTGCGCAGGATCGACCATCCATATGCTGAAGCTAGGCTGATCTCCAACTCCATTGAGCAGACTCTTTCGGCTTGCTATGTATGTCCTCGGCATGGGATGAATTTTCGTGTCGATACACGTTGCTGGCACGCTCGGTGGGACCCTACAATCGTCATGGCGGCTCACAACAACGATGACATCCTTATGGTACATTATGAATATCTATCTAATGGAGATAAGGGTATCATCAGCAAAGCTACAGAAGAGTTTTAGAACAAGTGTTTGTTGTCCTACACCAAAACACACGACAACACAATTGTTCAGAAATTTTCACTACCAAGAGTTCTATTACACGGGCAGACAGATACAGTCGAAGCTGAACACATGCATTTCTTTACAAAAGTTATAGACAAATCTGTTCGTGATGCCATATCAAACCATAATGAAGCTTTCGTCGACGCATTTCACAACGCCATGAAAGAAGCGATTCATGGGATTCTAGTTGGTCAGGTTGGATCGACTTATTACAACATTCCAGATCCATCGACCCAAAGGACTAATCAAGTCGGTACCAGCCATCAAGAAGCAGCACCAGTTAGTAATGGTGATGTCTAGGCAGTTCAAGGTTTATCTGAACAAGCTCAAGGTACTACTACGAATCAGATACAGTATAATCCTAGACCATCAGTACAGCATGTGCAACAGTTGGCGGGGCAAGGTCAGAACTAGGTGATCAATTTTGGCACATCAGACCACATACTATCGTCGGCTCAGAAAATAGCACCCTTAATTCAAAGGATCCGTAGAGATATAGATCCTTATGTCTACTATCAGAGACTTCAAGCAGCAAGCCAGCAAAGGACCCAACAGATAGAGATTCCACAAGGGTATCATTATGGCACAGATTATAACACCCTCCACATGATTTCAAATCTAGGATATCAAGGCACACGGGATTTCAATACATAGATGGGTCAGCAGGTGCAGAGGAATCCAAATTCAAATGCTGATGAGTTACTGTTGAAGGTGACCGATATGATGAAGAGTCAGTTCGGTCTAAAGCCAAAAGGGCTGACCTTTTTGTACAAACGCACATATCTAGAATGGTACGATTTGGTTGCTCTTCCTATAAATTACAGGCTCCCAGAATTCGCTAAGTTCACTGGCCAAGACAGTACAAGCACGATAGAACATGTCAGTCAGTATCTTACATAATTGGGTGAAGCATCAGTTGAGGATGCCCATCAAGTTCGTTTCTTTTCCTTATCCCTGTCGGGGCCAGCCTTCACTTGGTTTTTGTCATTACCAGTCAATTCAATTACCAATTGGGCTAACCTAGAGAAGAAGTTTCATACATATTTTTACACTGGGACTAGAGAAAAGAAAATAACCGATTTGACAACCATAAGGCAGAAGACTAATGAATCGGGCACTGAGTTTTTTCAGAGGTTCCGAGAAACCAAAAATTTGTGCTTCTCATTAATCTTGGCTGATGATCAGCTAGCTACTTTAGCCATTCAAGGAATGTTACCAATGTAGAAAGAAAAGCTGCTGGGGCAAGAATTTGACAACCTGGATCAATTGGCTCAACGAGTGGCGGCACTCAATAGCCAAGTCTAGAGTATGCATAGAGATACCCGATTCCAGAAGAGTACCACAGTGACTGAAGCTTATAATCTATACTCAGCCGATGACGGCTATGAAGATGAAGAAGAAGTTGTTGCGGCTAAATAGAATTGGGGCAAAAAGACGGTGATGGTGTCAAATCCGTGGGGAAGAGGAGTCGAAGAGAGCTATGACTTTAATGTCATAAAATCAGACAAGCTCTTCAATTTCTTACTTGAGAAGGGGCGGATCAAGTTGCCTGATAATTATGATATGTTGCCCCCTGATTAGTTGAAGAATAGGAAGTTCTACAAGTTTCATAACGCTACTTCTCATTCCACTAATGAGTGTAGAATTTTCTGGTAGCATATACAGAAGGCCATTCAGCAAGGAAGGCTCAAATTTGATACGCCTTAGAAAATGAAAGTTGGTGATAATCCTTTCCTAGGAGATCAAAACATGGTTGATGTTGGGCTACTCAAAAGAAAGACTAAGGTCCTAACATCGGCCAAATCAAGAGAAGCTAAAACAGTTGATCCTAAGATGCAAATATCGGCTGATGAGTACAGAGAAATCAGAAGACGTCGCGACAAGCAAAAGAGTCGATATGAGCAGGGGGGAACGTCAAAAGATGGAGCGACAAAGCCGTGGGTTATATCTCGGATTCTGTTGGATAAGTGGCAACGGTAGAAGGAAAAAGGATTATCAGCGATGGTTAGAAGATCAAGAATACCAGCG